AGTTAAAAGCTCATAATTTGTATAAGACTGCTTGGCATGTGGGGTGCCTGGCTGGCTCATTTGGTAAAGCATATGAATCTTGATCTCAGGATCTCAGCCTCGTGAGTTCAAGCCCCACGTTGGGAGTGGAGTCTACTTAAAATAAAAATTTTTTAAAAAGAAAAAAGAAGGCTTCTTGGCTACTCATTGAAAATTGGCTCTTACTTTCTACTGCTTACTGTCTCAGTTCAAGGGCTCAAAGGAGGCTGTATGGCTTCAGGAAAGGGAACCCAGCATCCGGTAAGTGTCCATCCCCCGAGACACGGGCAAAGGCCGGAAGGGCTGCTCTCTGTCTGCTTCCAGTGGAGCTCTGGTGCCCCCAGGTGGTCATTGTGGGTACAGCAGGCCACCTTCTCTGCTTCCCTCTCCCTGCTTGGGACTGTGCCCCCCCCCGCCCCCATGGAAGGTCTGTCTGACTGCCCATCTATCCATCCACTAGCTCCCCCTGGCCCGGGCCTCCACCAAAACTTAACATCCACTGCGGAGAGCTCTGCCTGGTTTCCTCATCCTACACCCAACATCCGTCTGCTGCCCCACCCCCCCAACAACAAGGTCCTCCAAAATTGGGTGGGAGAGAGCGGAAAGGGGAGCCTCAGAATAGAACTCAGCCCTCACATGGCCTCACCCCAGTCCCCTGCTCCTTCCCCACAGTCTCAGAGCTGGCCTCCCTGCCTCTCCCAGGGCAGCCAGGGCAATGGTTAAAAAGCCCCTGTCCCAAACCCTCTAAGCCTCCTCACCTTTTGGGGGTCCAACCCCATGTGTTTGTGTGCTGCCTTGCCCCTTAGACAGATAAACCCACACATGTGTGCCAACCGAGCGTTGCCATGGCACTGGGGCAACTAGGTGCCCACATGGAAACAAAAAAGTGTGGCAGGACCTCCCATCAATACCAGGCGGGTTGCAGGTACAATTTGAAAGGTGAAACAATGAAGCTTTTAAAAAATGTGCAAGGATATCTTTATGAAATCGTTCTGACTTTGGGGCAGGCAAAGAGTTCCTTAAAAGAAGAGAAAAGCTGATAACATAAAGGAAGTTGTTGATAACTTGGACTGTATTAAAATTTAAAACTTCTGATTACCAAAAGGCACTGTTAAGAGATGAGCAGGTGGGACTGAGGGAAAGATATTGATAATAAAGACATCCGTGAGGAATTCTCATCCGAATGCACAGTCCTACAAATCAATGAGGAAAAGGCGTATGAAAGCAGCAGAAGCACCAGGAAGACACACCCTCATGGAAAAAGGAAGGCCACTGGCCAAAGGGAATGTGAATTAAGTGGCAGGGTGGCACCACCGTGGAGCCTCCTGAGCACCGAGTGACAAAGCCAGTGGTCCGTGAGGGTGTGCACACAGAGACCACCTGAGCAGAGACACAGCCACTCGGGAAGCCCTTGGGTAGTGGCTTCTGACGCTGAACAAGCACACCGTCTGCCCCAAAGCTCTGGGATGTTTGCAGCTGCCAAGTGGAAACAGTCCGAATCTCCATCCACAGAAACCTGAGTCAGAGATGAGCCCACTGTTGGTGAAACTGACCACCGCAGCCCCCGAGGCGCCTGACTCCAAACCATGTTGAGGCTCCAAGGAGGCAGACTTGAGACTAGAAAATTCACATTCGTTTCTGCCCCCCAGTTACTGGCCCAGAGCTACTGAAACGCTTGTAGATTCTTAAGTGCTAAAAGCGCCAAGACCATCTTCTGTTCTAATGAGCCAACTCTGGGTGGGATCTTGGATAGGGATTCTCACCAGAAAGACCAGCCGTAATTAGAAGCTTGGAAATTTCAGCCCCAGCACCCCCTCTCCCAGAGAGGGGAGAAGGGCCAGAGTTGGAGTTAACGACCCATCATGCCTGTGTGAGGAATCCTCCGTAAAAGCCCCATAGTATGGGGTTCAGAGAGCTTCCAGGTTGCTGAACACGGGCAGGTGCGGGGAGAGGGGCAGGATATGGCCCCTCCATGCCCTTCCCACATAATTCACCCCACAAAGCTCTTGCAATCCGGCGGCTCATCTGTACCCTTTATCATACCCTCATACAATAAACCGGTAAACATAAGTAACTGTTTCCCTGACTTCCGTGGGCCGCTCTGATAAATTAACCAAATCCAAGGGGGAAGGGTCATGGGAAATTGGTTTGTAGCCAAGTTGGAGGAAGTTGTGGGTAACCTGGGGACCCACTACTTGCGACTGAAATCTGAAAGGGGGCAGTCTTGTGGGACTGAGCCTTTCGCCTGTGGAATCTGAGGCTGCCTCCAGGTAGACGGTGTCAGAATTGAGTTAACCTGTAGGACACCCGGCTGGTGTCCGAGAAGCAGAGGTAGTACAGGAGACTCACAGGAGAACAGTGCAAGAAGGAAACTAGTTCTTCTTTTTACACAGATGCGGAAAGGTTCTTACAGTACAACTGCCCTGATATAAAGTTCACTCCGGGCCAGGCTTGCCGGCACACGGTGGCCGGGCGGCAGAGCCCAACAGGCAGGGGCGCGTCTCCACAGCTGCTCCCTCACCGTTTGTGCCCTTCCTGTGCGCCTCATATATTGACCAGTTTGCTGGGAATCGAAGCGCCCCAGCCTTGTTCATCCTGCGTGAAGCTGCTTCCTCCGCCAGCACCCTCACAGCCCCGGCCTCTCTGTCTCCCACCCACGGAATCTTGTCCCTCAGGCCCTCAAAGCCCGTCTAGTCCAAGGCCCTTTCCTCAGAGAAGCTCCAGCCCCGCCAAGGCCCCCTTCTCTCCATAGTACTTCGTCTTTTATGCTATGTTGCTGTCGGAAATGATCTCCTCTACCTGTTTGTTTAGATGTTTGCTGTCTGACTCCCTTACTGCCTCTTCATATCCCTTATAGCCTGGAAGCCAAAAGTGTGTGTTACAGTGACCTGTGTGGGGATGGGCAAGATCAGCCCCGAGGTCAGGATGGCCTGGAGCACAGCGAAGGCCTTTGGGGCCCAACTCTGCCGTTTGCTAGCTGTGTGGTCATGCACACGTCACTCTCTGCGCCTCGCCAAGCCCAGTTATGAAAACAGGATCTTCTTTGTGCCCCCTGCCAGGACGGGTAAGTTTTGGGAAGATTGCTCAGGGAGGCCAGGCCTAGGAGGTGTTACTCTGGAGGCCCATCTCCGAGGCACTGTTACCCCCGCCTGCCTACTCAGTGACTGGTGTGCTTGGGGGTAGCAGCACCAGGCCCCCTTTCTAGAAGGAATAGACTCTGCTCTGCCTCCTCCTTCTTGGGCCCATCTACAGGAGTCTAGGTCAGGAGACATGCTGGTGGAGAGTAACCCACTTTCGTCCTCTGAACCCTCCCAACCCTCTCTAGAGGCCCAAAGCCCATCCCCGTTTGGGGTGCTGACTACCAAGAGCCCCGGTGACCCCCACCAGCAGGCTCCACAGTGCTTCCAGGGAAGGGGCCAGTAGCCTCTTGAGACCAGAGGAGTGAGCTTTGCTCCACTATTCCACCCCCAGTCAGCAGCGGCCCTCTTCCAAAGGATCTATCTCTAGGAACATTCTGGAAAGGTCATTTCCCACTGATCACTCAGTAACCCTCTCTACTCCACACAGACGACAGGGTAAAGCCCTAAGACCCAGACAGGACTGGGCTGGTGGGAGGTGGGGGGCAGAGATGCGAGCAGAGGGCTGGAGGTTTCATAGCAGGTGGGACCACTTTAAGAGGAAGAGTCAGCCTGGGCCAAGAGATGGAGTGCAGAGTGGCCTTCAGCTTGGGAAAAAGGAGGCCCGTGCAGGACTGATTGCAGGTCAGCATTCTCTGGCCAGCATCTGACCTGACCAGGAAGGTGTCCCTCACATAGCTGGAGGCCCCTCAAATGCCATCTATTTGTGGCCTGGACCTTGACGGCTGGCAGGAGACATGTGACCGCAGGGATGGGGTATTTTTGGTAGCGGGGGCGGGGCCTGTGCAGTGAGCCCAGCGCCATGCCGCTCTGGGACAGGCAGCTCAGACATCCAGCTCCACTGCCCTGGCTGGCCACGGGGTCCCAGGTATGACACTGCAGTCCCTCATTCCCACCCCAAGAAGTCTGAAAGTCAGCCCTGGAGGGACTTCCCCAAGGGCCAGAGAGGGGGACATTTCAGTGGGTCAGGAAGGTCTGGTCTCACGGCATCTTCATCTTAGCACTGGCCTGACCAGAGCGACCTCCTACCTTCCTGGGGGCAGTGGTGGCTGACCAAAGGCCAAAGAGCACCTCCCACAGGAGGCTGGGACACTAGGGGCTCTCAGGCAGTTAGGGTCACCTTTGTTCACAGAGATGAGGCAGAGGAGGGGTCTCTGCCAGCTAGGCAGGACTGGGTGAGGGGCACAGACCTTGAGGATGGCTCTAGAGTCCAGAGGGAGTTAGGAGGCTCATTTCTGTGACCTCCTGCCTAGGCAGGAGACAGAGCCAGATGCTCCCTGGTGACCTCCGAGTGGCCTCTGGCCAGCACTAGTGTGACCTTGAACTCAGGGGAAGCCCAGAAGCCTGTCCCAGTCAAGGCTAGTGGAAGGTCATTACCAAAGGCTGGTCACTTGCTGGACACTGCCACCCCTCCTCCATGGCCAGCTGCCACCTGAGGCACGTGGGGACAGACCAGGGCTGACCATCCCCCAGGTGAACTGACTCCCAGCGAGTGATCTTTGAAATGGGTTTTGCTGTATGAAGTTTACCTTGGTGCCCACAACTCTGAAGGAAAGCTGGAGGTGGTGAAGCTGACCTAGGTGAATAGAAAATACTCCAAGATGTGAAGAAAACCACTTCCGGGGACAAAAATTCAAACGCAAGGAATCCTATTTTCTTGATGTACTTCACTAATCTAAACCATATTTGATTTTCAGAATGTAACAATATGTCATTACGCGGTTATTATCTGGGGTCAGTTTGGAAATACGGAAAGTGGGAGCTGCGGGTTTTGTAACTTGGAGGAGAGGTCAGGTTTGACAGCGCTCAGCTTCCCTCGGGATTCCCTCGTCTGATCTCTTGCAGGACATAGATGGAGTGCTGGCCCCCAAGCCAAGGAGGTGGGGGGCACCCCAGGGACTGGGCAGGGTAGTGGCAGCGTGTGCTGGCCTGTGGCCAGGACCTGTGCCTGTGAAGATCCCACCTGGCCTCAGGCTCTGCTGCTCAAGTGCCTTTCCTGACCTGAAATGGAAAATTTCCAGTATAGCATCCAGCTGAGTGACCAGGACTGGGCTGAGTTTTCAGCTGCAACTGAAGAGTGTGGCCTCCCGCAGGCCAGCCTGGCCTCTGGGGATGAGCTCTTGTCCAGTGACATTGACCAAGGGGACAGCAGTGGCCACAGTCCCTCTGGGCCTCCACCCCTTCTCGAGGGGCAGCCGGCTCCTGGGGGGAGGGGCTGGCCTGGTATCAAGAAGGAGGACAAGGCAGCTACCCGGCCGCTGGTCAGCAGGTTTGGGCTTGAGCCTGTCTTGGCCCTGGAGGCTGATCAGCAGATGCCCAGCACGTCCGCACAGTCAGGAGCTTTGCTGTCCCTCCAATCCGACACCGCCTCTCTAGAGCAGAGCTCATCGCTCCTAGGGCCGGTGTCTTCCGGAGACGAGATGCAGAGGCTTCTGCAGGGGCCAGCCCCCCGGGACCCTGGCCCTAGTCCCCCTGGGGAGCCTCCTCAGAGCCCCGAATCTCCTGGCTGCACCACTGCTCCCCAGAGGCCCCCCGGAAGTCCTGGAGCCCCGCCACGCAGCCCTGGCCGAAAGAAGAGGCACGCTGCTGGAGCCAGGGGGGGCAGGTGCTCGAGTACCCCAGGCTCTGCTCCCACCCAGCTGGGTTCCCTGTTGCTTGCTGAGGTCAGGCCCAAGGAGGGCCTTGGTCTGTCTGGGTCCAGGGGGAAGGATCTCTCAGCTGGAACAGCAGAGCGGACAGCAGACACCAGGCAGAATGAACTGAGTCCAGAGTCTGTAGGAGCCCCTGTGCAGATGACCAGGCAAGAAACAGATTTGGATCTGTCTACACCAGTCCCTACGAATGAGCAAGGTACAGACCCACTCAGAATGACCCCCAGAGCTGAGCCACACACCGTGTCCACACCTGCCCAGGAGACTCATCCAGATATCGCAATAGCTAAGTCAGATGTGACTCTGTCTACACTCACCTCCAAGCTTCAACCTGACACACCTCTGTCTACACCTGCCTCCAAATGTAGACTGGACATGGACCTACCTGTGCTGGACCCAGTGGTTAAGCCAGAGATGGACTCATCTACACTTGCTCTGCCTCAGCTTGTTTCCAAGGCCCAATCTGATGTAGGTGTGTCTGCACCTGCTCCCATCCCCCAGGCCAGGCCTGACTTGGTGGAGGTGGAGGTTGCCCCAGTGGCCAAGCTGTGTTTGAGCTCTGTTGTGTCTCCAGGACACCAAGAGAAGCCCAGAGAGGAGCCTTCAGCAGGTGCCCCTGGCCGTCGCTCAGGGGAGCCCCCACTAGGCTCTGTTCGAGCACCCAAGAAGAAGAAAGTGCGATTTTCCATGGCTGTGCCAGGCCCTGAGGAGCCAGGTCTGGGAGAGACCTCAGGCCCACCCTCACCAGCCACAGCCCGGCCCTCACCTCCCAGGGCAGCAGCCGGGGGCCGAGGGGGGCCTGGAGGCTGGGATGCCACGGCGGTGGGGCCCCGGTCTCCCCAGCCTCGGATCCTCAAACACCTGCCTCCCCCTACCCCCTCTGCCTCGGTGGGGCCTAGGCCCAGGAGCAGCTTTGCAGTGACCCTCCCAGAGGCCTACGAGTTCTTTTTTTGCGACACTATTGAGGAGGAGGATGAAGATGCAGTGGAGGCAGCAGAAGCTGACCAGGCCTGCGAAGTACAGTGGCCGGACACGTGCGAGTTCTTCTTCCAGGACTGCCGAGCCCAGAGGTCAGGGCACTGGGGGGGCCAGTCTGTGGCCCAACCCCCACAAGCTGAGCCTGTGCCAGCCCGCCCACCTGGAGACCCTGTGCCCATCTCCATCCCTGAGGCCTATGAACACTTCCTTGGGGAGGACGCATCAGGGGGCATGCTAGACCTGGCTGCCCTTCTCCAGCTGCAGGCCACAGAGCCCCCCCGGCTGGTCCCCTGGGGAGCGGGGCCTGGAACCTCACCAGAGCCTAGCCCAGTCACAGCAGAGCAGCTCAGTCTGGCAGTCCGGCAAGCAGGTGAGTGTTGCTTGGGACCCATGGGCCGTCCAGGTCCTGGGAACATACTGTCCAGGGAGTTCAGCCAGGAGGGCTGTTAGGGAGGGGCGGCCTAAGACCCCGAGTCATGAGCCAGTAGGGGAGCCTTAGGGATGATCTGGGAGGGATGGACTAGCTCCTGGCCATCCCAGGACACAGTCCAGGTGGGGTGGGCTAGGCCAGACACCACAGCCACTCAAGAACTTGTCTCTGCACTGACCATCATTCTGTATTCGGGCCCAGATGACAGCAGTGCCCTGCCCCCAGCCTCTAGCATAGTAGACTCTGGGACAGCTCACACTCGGGCCTTGCTGCCTGCTAGGTCAGGCCCTCAATAGACTTTGTCTCACACTCCCCCTGCAAGATATTTTACAAACCAGGAAGTGGTACTCCAGACGCAAACCTGCTCACGTGAGCTTGACTCACCTATGCCACACACTACCCTGTGTCTTGGGACAGGGTACTATAGGGGAGATGTGACTCAGACAGCACGCCTGGGACAGACCGGCCTGAGTGGAGCCGGAGCACAGAGCAATGCCTCTTTTTCCTAGGAGAGCCCCGAGGCCCTCTCACCTCATTTGCCTTCAGCCAGGATGACATGTGCCTGGTGTTCGTAGCCTTTGCCACCTGGGCCGTGAGAACATCAGATCTGCATGCCCCAGACGCCTGGAAAACAGGTTTGGGGGCTCGTGGTGGGGGAGTGGGTCGGCGCCCAGGATGACGGCCAGCGTCGTCTCAACTGCTGGCCAGCAGGGATGAGGGGTGCGTGGGGAGGCACAGATTTCTCCCCTGACTTGCTCTTCCGTTGCTGGCCCACCCCTTGTCCCGTTGGCCTCCTCCTGCCCTTCGAGGGCCAGGTCATGTAGACAGAAGGTGGTGACCAGGCCACGATGGGCCAGCACTCAGGAGGCCCCCTTGTGCTTCTCTTGCAGTCTTGTTGGCCAATATCGGTACCATCTCTGCCATCCACTACTTCCGCCGGCAGGTGGGGCAGGGGCGCCGCAGCCGCAGCCGCAGCCGCAGCCGCAGCCCCAGCTCATAGGACCCAGGCTTGGTCCAGGAAGACAGAGGACAAAGAAACGGCCACAGGGGCTCAGGACGAGGTGCTGCCCTCAGGTCTTGCCCTTTGATCCCTGTGTTCTGTGGCGTCTGGGAAGGAGCCAGTGTCCTTGGTCCTGGCTCCCTTGGATTCCACCCAAAGGTCTAGCCAGTGGCTGAGGCCAAGGGTGTGCTCCACACCTGGAAGGAGGGAGATTCTGGAAGGCTGGGTGGGTAGGGCTGAGCAAGGAGCTGGTTAGTAAGGTGGCCAGATTAGCAAATAAAAACCTAGGGTGTCCAGCGAAACTTGCATTTCACACATGCAGTATTTGAGATTGTACCAAATTATGTGTGGCTTATCTGAAATCAATGTAACTGGGCGTCCTCTACTTTATGTGGCTCGCTGGGTGAGAAGCGGACACGGTGCTGGGGACTGGAAGGTGTCAGTGCGGCAGCAAGGCCCCAGCTGGGAATCCGGGCAGCGGGTGAGGGTGAGGATACTGGGTGGCCTTCAGGTGGAGGGGGGTGTCCCGGAGACTATCTGCCCTGTTGACAAGTGGGCTGGTGTAGTGAAAACCTCTGAGGCCTCTTTGACCCCTGAACCCCAGGGGCTTGTGGCCAAGGGCTTCTCGGCTCCTGCCTACGCCAGTGAGCAGGGACCCATAGGGGCCTCCGGGGGTCAGCCCCAGCGGGGGGCGGGGGGTCCTACAGGGCAGAGGCTGGAGCCCCTCCTCTGGGGAACCCTGGACGAGGTGCAGAGGCAGAATATGGTGGTGTCAGATAAAGGCACTGAACATTTGGGGTTGTCCCAGGGCTTTGAGGAGCCAGAGATGGGGCAGGAAGGTGGGTCGGAGGCTGGTGGTGGCAGAGCAATGAAGGCTACCAGGCTGGGTGCCGGGTGGGTGTGTGCACTGGGTCCCCAGGACAGGGGACTTCTGGCTGCTGAGTGGAAGACGCGGGGACACGTAGCGGAAATAAAATCTCTATCTTTCTTGTTTAGTCTCTTGTCAGTTTCTCCCAAGTGGCCCCAGGCCTCTCACATTTACCCAGAATACCCTCCTACCTCTGCTCGCGATGCCTCACACTTGCTGACCCCCTACTCTGTGCTCTCTGACCTCACGTGCTCTGACCCTCACTAATCTTTCTCAGCCCTCTGGCCTTCACACCTACACTGTTCTCCCACCCCAGGTAAAGCCTGCACCAAGTGGCCTCCCCCATTCCTTCCCTGGAGGAAAGGTTGAAGTTTGGGGCCTCCACGCATCCTGCTCTGATCTGTGGTACGGCAATGTCGCCAGGCCAGCTTCGGTATGAGGCCTTCTGCCTGGCCCCTCCAGAGCCCAGGGAGTCTCAGAGTTCTGGAGACCCCTGCACCCCGCTGGGGTCAGACGCTGACTCAGCATCAGCTGGGGTTCAGGTACTGGGTGCTGGTCAGCCTGTGGCTCTACAAAGAAAGACCCAGGCTCTGCGGCAGACCCCCCTCCAGGGTTAAGGCTGGCAGGTGGTCCTGAGGACCAGCCGGCCCAGGGGCCATCAGATCCACTGGATGAGCCCCCCACCAGCCTCAGGTGCGCGGGGCCACCGCTTGTGGGAGGGAGATGAAGCTTTGTCCCAGGCGTTGTCGTAGCTTCTGAGGGGACGGCCACCTGGTGGGGAGGAGAGAGATGCATGTGCCTTCAGGAAGCAACACACGGTCACTCGGAAGAGGCAAGGGCCTTCACTCACCTGAGGGAGGCAGCAGCTGGTCAGGCGAGACTTCTCTCACTGGGGAGGCCTGGGGACCCCAACCACAAGTCTCAGATCTGAGCCCTGGGGGAGGAGGCTTGAAGACCAGCCCACGAACCCGCCAGACCCCCCCCCTACCCTTTCCTCCTAGTCCTGCATCTTCTCTTCCTACAGCCCCAGCCTCTGCTGCTTCCTGCCCTTGCCCCGCCCTGTCTTGCGCTGGCTCCCCCTGTCCTGCTCCCCCAGGCTTCCCACCTGCCCGCACAACTCTGCCCCGCAGGGCGGGGGGCTGCTACTCACATGCTGCGGGGAGGCTGCGGCTCCTGGGCCCTGGCCCTTGACAGAGCTTCGGTGCCGCTGAGAGGCTCGGGGCTGCAGGGCTCCCTTCTGGGAGAGCAAGTGGGGACCGGGGAGCCCAGAGCTGGGGGCGGAGACAGGCACAGACACGGGGACCGAGGGGAATGGGCTCGAGGACTCGGGTCCAAGTGAGCTCTGCATTGCACTGAGGAACTGCCAGGAAAGAGTGGGGACCTGAGGCTCTGGACCAGAACTTCCACAGAGCTGAGGGATCCCTGTCCCCCAACCCCCTTGGCCTCTCATCATGACTGAGCAGACCTCAGGCTGTGGACCTATCCAGCCCCTTCCTTCACCCACAGGGAGCTGACCTCATCCAGGCCCTGGACGTCTGTGATCTTGTGATAGGAGGTAGCAGGTGGGGTGTAGGGATCGGCATAGAGTGGGAAGTGTGGGGTCTCCGGAGGCTGCTCTGGGGTCTCGGGGTTGCCCTCCGGGCTCAGCTGCAGGCAGGAGGCAGAAGAGACAGGGCCCCTGGAGCTGGAGGTGGCCTGAGTCCTCCCTTCTCTGCAGGAAGGCCTCTAGGCGGCTCCAGGATCACCCAGGCCTGAGAAATGGAGGCCAGGGAGATGAAGGCAGGATGGAGAACTGGGTCAGCGTGCTGGGCTCACCTTGGTCAGGTCCAAGAACAACGAGGTGGCCAGGCCGGGCCCTTCGCCCCGAGCCTTGCTCCTGGGTGACCGGCTGCTGCTGCTCCGTCTCAGCTCTGCCCTCTGCCTGCTGATGCAGCCAGGGTTGGCCTGGTCCTGTGGGGACCAAAGACTTCCAGAAGGTCCCCTAGGGCTCTCACCCACTTCAACCCTCGAAGCTGCACAAAGTTCCCTTCGGTCTGTGTCTCCTCCCCTGAGGAACTAGGGTCCTGCTTGGAATGGGGTGCCTTGGGGATCCAGGCTCCCCAACACAAAGTGTCCTCATGACTCCCTGCCCACTTCTTCTGCCTGCCCTACCCCACTCCCAGATACTCACGGGCGTGGGCTGGGTGGGGCAGCCTGTGGTGGACGGCACTGAAGACTCAGGGAGAGAGTGGCTGGTGTGTGTGGAGGGGGGTGCTGGGTACCCCGAGTCCCAGCTGGTTCGTCCCTCTGAGGAGAGTGACCCTCGGCCACCACCCGTGACCTGGACACCGGGGGGGGGGGTGAGACAGACAGCAGGACCCCTCTCCCTACCTACCTATGCCACAGATCCACCCTTCTGCCCAGAACCCGAGATGTGGGGGCCACATCTCTCCTTCTTGACCCCTCACCTGTGGGGACACCCGCAGCCCTGGGAAGCTCTCGGGGCCGGGCAGTGCGGGAGCTCCATCCCTGCGGGAGACAGTCTGCAGGCAGAGCAGCCAGTGGCTGTAGTCCTCGTAGCTGGCACACAGCACACGAATAGTGTTGATGAGACGGCCTAGCACACAGACACTGTGAGGGGGCCTGGCGAGCAGGAAGCCCCCTGCAAGGCCCCACGGAAGAGCTGGGGCACCCGTGAGGCCCGTGCCCTCCCTCCCGGGCCAGGCCTCCACCCACCTTCGATGAGGAAAGAGCGGATCTGCTTCTCCTTCTCCTCCAGGTTGATGTGGATGGCGCTGAGTGGGAGCTCCCCCTGTGCGGGCAGCGATGAAAGATGGAGCCTCGGTCTGGGGCGGGGGCAGCCCTGTGCCTCTGCCTGGGCCCGTAACTCTGTCTCACCCTCCAGAGCTGGGTTGGGCCCTCAGGTCGCAAGGCAGGGCTGAGGCTGACACCCCTGAGGGAGGCCAGCGCTCCCCATCTGTCCTGAGGGACACCTTTATCCCTGGACTCCGGGTAGGGCCTTCATCAGCCAATGGCAGGCACAGACGGATGCTTCTGGGGACTGGTCCCCTGGGTCACCTATTAAGACTGGGGTAGGGTGGGAGGGATCGTACGGAAGAGCCCTGTATGCTTCTCAGTGACTGAGGCTGTGATCACCCCCAGAGTAGAAGGTAACTGTGACGCACACAACAGACACACTCCAGCTCCAGAGGACGGACGGACACACACACACACACACACACACACACACACACACACTGGAAAATGTCCACGCAGAGGGACAGGCTTCTCTCGGAGATACTGGGGGCCAACACAAGAGTGCCCCCCAGGAGCGGTTCTGCCCCCACGTCACCTGCCCCAGGTGACCGTCCTGCTGGTGGTGGAGGACTCTCTAGGATGATAAGGGGTCCTACGCAGGGGTCCCTCCTTGGCCATGTCACAGCTGAGACCAGATTGACCAGGGCAGTGGGCCGGGTGGGTGGGGCCAGCACACTCTGTCCCAACAGGCCCCGAAATACAGGTTCCTCCAGAGCCACTGCCCTCTCCCACCCCCACACACAGGGCGTCTCCCCGGGGCGGCTCCACCACGGGGAGGGACCCACCTTAAAGCAAAGCCCATCTGCTTCCTCAGAGAAAATGGCCAGGGATGTTGGGTACAGGACCAAGAGCCGGTCCCATTGTTCCTGCGAGGGAGTCAAAGGCAGAGTAGGGGCTTGACCAGTGCGTGCCAGGGCCTGGACCCCATTTGCCACCTGAGCTCCTCTCCCATCTCCTCACCCCTCTCCCATGTTGTATCCCCTCCTCCACGCCCCTCCCATCCACCCTGTGCCCCCATGTCTTCACCCCTGTGGCCCCATCTCCTCTCACTCCTGGGTCCCCCCCCCACGCACCTGTGAAGGCAGATGCTGAAGCTTGACCCTCGAGGCACAGATGGCACTGCCCACCATTTGACGCCCCGATGCTGTCCGCAGCCGGGTCAGTCTGCGCTGCAGAGTCCAGGGCAGCTCGTCTTCTGGGGGGCCCTGGTGAAGGGGGGTCAGGGGCAGGCGGAGGGTGTGGACACAGGCAGGGAAGGAAAGAGGCGTGGGGGTCCCTGGCACTTACCTGTGGTGGCGATGAGAGGCAGTGCTGCCCTCCCACGAGGGCCTTCTGTTTCTCTAGGTGATACAGCCAGCGGCCCAGCTCAGCCTGGCTGGGGCAGAGCACGAGAAGGGGAGCGGGCAGCGGGCCTGGGGGTGGAGGGGTGCAGTGGGCTGGGCCAGCAGCCCACAGGAAAGGCCCTGCCCAAGGGATCCGTGGGCACCCCGAGGCCTGGAACAGGAGGGTCCTGTGACACCATCTGGGACAATCGGCCACTAACAGGGCGGCGTTCACAACTCTGGAGGTCCCTACTACCTGCTGCCCTGCACCCCCGCCCTGCACCCCCTGCAAATGCTCATGTGCCCACTGGGGGAAAAGCCAGTGCACTCAGGGTCCCTCCGGTGTTCCAAAGCTCAGCCAGACCGAGGCTACTGAGCAGCCCCAGCTAGAGGTCCCTCCTGGGGGCCGGGTCCACTCATGCCCCCCACATACCTGTGATCTGGAAGGCATGCTCTCTGGAGCCCTCCAGAGGGCAGACACTCAGCTCCATCAGTGGTAACAGCCCCTGCCAGAGCACATGGGGGAGAGGAGGGCTGGGGGGCCCCTAGTGGGACACGGATACCCATCTCCCAAGACGCTGCTCTCCTCCTCTACCCCTGGCCTCCTCCCTTTGCCTATTCCCCTCACCTGAAAGGTGAGTCCTTTGGAACCATGGGCCTGGAAGTAGAGGTAGGAGGGGAACAGCTCCAGATAGCAGTCACTGATGTCCTGCAGGAGAGCAGGGCTGCCTGTCTGATGGGCCGGGGGTCAGCCCCCAGGCCGGCACCCGAGCACACCCCCCCACTTGGTCCGGCCTGGCCCCACCTGGCTATGCTGGAACCGCAGCTGGACTTTGGCATAGTGTATAACCTTGCCCAGATTCCTCACAGGCACCCTCCGCCGCCCCTTCTTGAACACACTCAGGAACGGCTGCTCTAGATTTTCTCGCTGGCTCTCCAAGTCTCGAATGTCCTGTGGGGAGCAGAGCTCAGGGGAGGGGGCCAGACCTGGGGCCAGCTGCCCCGCCCACACACACCCCTACAAAGGTTAGGGACGTACATACACCATCGCTCATAGGTACAGAACCCCATACGCTCTCACAGCCTCTAAACATAGAAGTAGTGGAAGCACACACACACGAGCAAACACTGCCTGCCAGCCATAGAATTACGTGGTCTAGTGGTAGAGACAGTGAAGTCTGAATTCAGTGGAGATTCAACCCTTACTTTTGACATTTCCTAAGTCGTGTACCCTTGTTTCAATTACTCAGCCTCCAAAGCCTTGTTGGTCAGGGGGGTTTCAGGTGTCTGAGGAAGACGATGCTAAAACACTCCCATGCCTGTGGTATTGACTATAAATACTTAATACCTAGTTCTACAAGGTGGGTGAGGCAATGTCGACGGAAATACCCCCACCACGGCTCCGCATGTCAGGGAGTGGGGGGCTGGAAAAAGATGCAGCAGATCAGCCCTTGAGACTCTGTGCCCGCCGCTTCAGCACACCACAGCGGGCCCCTTAACCTCACCCACTGAGAGGGCCGAAGTCCTGGCAACGGCTCAAAGGGTCCTCTGTGATCTGTCCCTCCTCTAGTCCTGTTCTCTCGTATCGGGCATAGGCTGCCTTTGTACTTGTTATTCCCTGTGCCTGGACGACTCAGCCCAACTCTCTTCTCGCCCATCGGGACTCGGCTCCAATGTCACCTTCTCCATGAGATCCTTTCTGGGTAACCTCCAGCTGGGTAACCTCTGCACACCTTCCCTCCTTTACTTTTCTCCTTAACACTACCACATCTGACTTCTTGCATCTTTTACTGTTATCTGGCTCTGTCACAGGGATGGGAACACCATGAGAATGGGGTCTTTGTCTATTTTGCCCACTGCTGTATCCCCACAGCCTAGACCAGGCCTGGGATGTGCTAGAGGTTCAATGCTTGTCTGCTGAGGGGAGGGACCATCGGTGCCGACACTCAGCTAGCCCTGGCACACAGGGAGTCCTCTACAGTCGGGGGGCTTGCTCATCAGATTGAGAGTCAGATACGGATGGGTGTTGACCTGACACCCTGGCTGGAAGGGCTGAGGTCTAGGGGCTCAGGGGTGAGTTGGGGCCATGCTTCATTTGGGTGCTGGCGGAGGCTGTCTCGAAGGCTGCTGAGACCCGGCCAAGCTAAGCCACCCCTTGGGCAAGCCCAGGAATGTGAACAGACTCACAGCTTCCTGGCCTCCCTGACTCTGGGTGGGGCCTCCTGTACCCACACCCAGTATGGGGAACAACTCGGGGATAGGACCCATGAAAAATAGGCCGTGGAGCAGGAAGGGCCATGCAGCTGTCCCTGTGCCCAGCCTTGGGGCCCAGGGAGGCGTCAGCTCAGAGCTGTGGCAAGGCTGGTTCCTTGGTAGGTATAGAGCCCACCACAGGGCAGGGCCCAAGAAATGGCTCCTTCCCTGGTCCCACCTCCCAAGGTTCAATCTGCCGGGTCCCCTTTCCTGCTATGTCCTGGCAAAAGAGAACCGCCAGGGCCACCGTACCTCACGTGATTCCACTCTGTCTCGGACAGAGAGAGTTGAGGTCCGAGATGCAACCTCACGAAGGGACTCCAGCCCAGCCCAGCCAGACCGGGACAGAGTGGCCTGTCCACTTCTCTGAGGCAACTTGGTTTCTCAAGCCAGCACTTGCCTGCAGGGCGTCCTGAGACCACAGAGGGCAGGAGAGGGGACAGGTGTGTGCTTCCCAGCCCGACAGGAACACATTGGAAAGGTGGACTCTGGAAGATCACCCCAGCTAGGCCTCACAGGGACAGTGCGAGGCTGGAGGAGTGCAGGGTAAGGGCCCTGGCCCAGGATCACACATGTTACTGCTTCTATGTCCCCCAAGACCCAGGGTCACACATGTTACTGCTTCTGTGTCCCCCAAGAAGTTGGAGGATTGTTTCTCTCACATTCTGGGGTCTCTGCACGTAGCAGAGCCTCACCCCTACCCAATGCCATCCAAGCTGGGAAAGAGGGCTCGGGGTCTCTCCCCACTCAGCTAACCCTTAGCCTCACAAGGGGTGGGCGGAGTGAGAGGGTGTGGTGCTCAGTTCAGAGGTGGCCTAGCACGTGAGAGCCACATCCCCGCTGTGCGGCCTTGGTGGGGAGGACGCAGCCGGCTGCTGTGGAATGAGGCAGCAGTGGGTGCCGAGGAGACACCCCCCGGGAGAAACTGAGGTCTGGCTCCCTGTTCACCTAAAGCCTCTTACTCTCTTAGAGTGATGACAGAGGGTGGGGGATCACAGACACACCGTCAACACGACACCCACGCCCACACAGCAGCATAGATATGTGTGCTCAGTCCACCTCAAGTGTGTCTGGATGTGCAATCCCGCACCCAGGTCCTGGGGGTGGGCAGACACCACAGGTATGGCTCTGAGTGGACAGCCTGACCGTGGTGCCCCCTCCGGTGTAGCGGAGAGACTCCTGGACGCCCCGCCTATGGCCCTCCCCCGCCAGGTGCTCCCTCACCCCACTGACTCAGTGTCTCTCAGTTTCGCTCTCCACTCAGACTTTCGGCCAGATGAGCTCCCTGGGGTGGGGCAGTGTCTGCTTCCTCACCTCACTCGGGATCTGATCCTCCCGCCCCCCTGGCTGATGGGGGAAGACCCTGCGTCGAGTGAAGATAGGAAAGGCACACACAGTCACACAGAGACCACCGCCTCGCACCCCTGTGAGCTGGGACACGCCCACCCGCCTGCTCACCGTCCCAGGGATGTAGCAGAAGATCTTGTCGGCGGTGGCCTCCTGGTCAGGACCGGCCTCGGTGCCCAACAGGCCAGCCAGCTTCCTCGCGCCGTCCTCTCTGGGGACAAGTGAAGGGGGGCTCACAGCCTGGTCCCAGAGGCAGACTGAGGGGCACCCTGTGACCCAGTGTCCGAGGCTGAGCTCCACACCCCCCCCTCACCTATTTCCCTTCAGCGAGGGCTTCCTGGAGAAGGAGGCCCGGAGCCTCCTAGGGGCCTGAGGGACGCAGTGGCTGTTCCCCATGGGCGGCGGTCGAGGCGAGCCCAAGTGAAACAGGTCTGTGTCCTTCTGTACTGAGCCTCAGGTCCCGCCCCCAGGCGGGGCTCTGGGAAGCCTTGCCCTATACCTAAGGGCGGGGATGAGGGTGGAGCCTTTCTGGGAGGGACCCAGCCCTTACCTGGGCCCAAGCCTTCCGGCTCTCCGACCTGGATCCTCCACACACACAGGCTAGGCTGGAGTCGGGGTAGGGTTGGGGGAAGAGTCTTCTCCTGGGGTCCAGCCAAGAGCACCCATCTCTGTCTCGTCCGTACAGGAGTTGCCTTAAAGGCCTGGTTTATGAGCATGTGGCCTGCCAGCACTCCGGCCGTGGTCGCTTGGGGCTGGAGCTCTGTGAGCCCAAGGGTACCCCCCTCCCCACGCGATCCCTCCCCACCGAGAGCACACATCCTGCTTCCACCTAAAGGCCACTGTCTGAGTCACCACTGACTAAGGGAGTGTGTGCTTACTCTCAGCTGCTGAAACAGGAGTTTGCAACTTTAGGGGAAGGGGAAGCCAGGACCCTCCCCCAACCTCTCCATCCCTGGCCAGTGTCCAGGAAGTAGGCCACAAACCTCCTGGGTGCACCCAGGACCATCGTGGTGAGGCAGTGCACGCCGTGTACGCCCACCCCCCTCTCCAGAGCCGGGGACGAAATGGGACCGTGCTGACAGCAAACCACGCTCCTGGTTGGGTGCTCGTCCACAACATCGCAGCCCTGTCCCGCCTGGATGTGATAATGCTGCCTCACAGCCCTCAGCTGCCAGTGCAGAGCCTTGCCCAGCTGCACACCTGTCCCCGGGCCCTCCTGGTCATTCCAAGCAGGACCCCAAAGGGTAGAGATGTACAGTCAGCCACAAGCCCACAGAGCCCAGGAAACATGTTTATTGTTCAAGTTGGCTCATATTGCTGTGTGGGGTCTATGGCACGCTTGTGCTCAGCTCAGTGCAGGATCCAGAAAAGACACCATGCCCACGAGAAGGAAGCCCGCTTGCTTCACGCCTTCCTTGGGAGTGTGCCTGGCTGGGCAAGGTAGGGGTGGTGTGCAAAGCCCAGGCTGGAAGGGTCTGCACCTGCTCAGAAAGCCCCCACCCCACTAACCCTGGCCTGTTGCTCTGCATCTGCCCCTCAGTCCGTTCAGGTCTGCAGAGTTTGAGTTCACCCCTGATGCATCTCCCCCTGGTGCCGCCAGTGGGGTGGGAGGACACGGGAGAAGGCAGCTTGGTCCCAGAGACACAGGACACTTCGAGGGGAAACGTGTAAACTGGTAGGTGCTGCACTGCTCCTCGATCAATAAATAATGAATAAATAAACAAACCGTGAAGTAAATAAACGGTACCCACATAAACAAACACTGAGGACCGAACATGGAAACGGGCAGCCTCGACGCAGAGACAGGACAGACGGGGCAGGACTTTCCCGGTGGGGGCCGAGCACCCCGCCCCCGACACTCGAGGCGCTGGGGCCGCCCCTCGGGGCTTAAGGCATGTGGGAGGCCGCGGGCCGGGTCTGTGCGATCCGCGGCGGCTCAGAGGCTGGTGGACGACACTGACAGCGTGGGGGAGGAGGGCGGCGGGAAGCTGAGCAGCTCGAGCACCGCGGCGCCCACGCTGCTGCGCCGCGTGAACATGCAGGACGCGGCCACCCACTTGTTGGTCCTGGGGTTGTACTTCTCAATGGAGTTGAGGCTGGAGCTGCCATCGTTGCCTCCCACCGCGTACAGCCAGCCGTCCATGGCCACCAGGTCGTGGGTGCTCCTAGGGGCGCGGCGGGGATGGTAAGCCTGGGGACTGGGGGAGTGGGGGAGAGCCCCTGGGGCGGGGCCCTGGAGAGGGCTGGGGGGTACGGGTGGGAGGGGCTGGGTGTGCCACAGGGGTGAGGCCTTAAGACCCATCTGCCCGGCTCTGGTAGGTGGTGGTGATGACCCCCGTGTGGGGGGGAGGGGCGGGCGCACCTTCGGATGTTCATGGGTGCTACGCTCTCCCAGGCACCCGCCTTAGGGCTGTATCTCTCCACAGAGTTGAGGCAGCTAGTGCCGTCATTGCCGCCAGCCACGTAGAGGGCCCCCTCCAGCACGGCCACCCCCGCTGAGCTGCGTCGGCTCAACATGGAGGCCACGGGGGTCCACGTGTTAACCTGTGGTTGAGGAGAGCGGCTGGGGGCAGACCCACCACCGGCCTCCCTTCTCCATAGTGCAGACCCCTACTCCAGGGCAGGCTATCTGTGGGACAGGGATGGGATGTGGAGGGTTGACCCTGTGGGTGATGTGGGTGACCAGAGTGATAGCCTCAAGGGAAATCAACGTGGTTGGAATTAACGTGATGTTGCGCACCTGGGGCTCATACTTCTCCACCGTTGCCAAGTGTGATGAGCTGTCGTAACCACCCACAGCGTACAAGTTCCCATCTGCAGAGAGTCAACATGCCCGTGGTGTCCTTGCTATATGTGGGGCCCCGGGGGAGGGGGGGCCGGGGGGGTGGGAACTACACAAAGCAGTCCGGGTCACCCACCAAGCATGGCCACACGCACATATCGCCTCCGGGTGCTCATGGCAGCGATGGACGTCCATGTTCCCGTCAGAGGATCGTAGCGCTCAGCACTGTGGACACCAGGTCTGCTACTGACCTTGAGCAGTGGCAGAAAGGCTGCCCTGGTTCCTGGACCCGCCCTCCCCTATGGAATGACTAAAATCCCATGCTGGGCAGTCACAGAGACTGACCCCCGAATCCCACTGGAGCAAGCAGGTCTTCTGGGTGGGCATGGGCCACTGGCTGGCTGCCTGAATGATCCTGGGCAAGTGTCCGTGGGGGCCCAGCCCCTGGGCTGGTGGGAAGAACTTGAGAGGAAAAGAAAAGGGCAGCTGCGCTGGTGCAGACGAAGAGGCCCAGGGCACCCTGGTGACTCGAGTCAGGTGGGACCCCTCTTCGCTCCCCTTAGGCATAACTTTTGCAATCCTGATGCAGCCAAACCTACAGCCAAACCAACCCCAAGATGCCACCCGGCCCTGAACCCGGCCACTACCTGTTGAGGCAGGAGGCCCCATCGTAGCCACCAGCTGCATATAGGAGCCCGTGCAGGGCGGCCACACCCAGGCAACTGCGCCTTGTGCCCATGGACACCTCAGGCTGCCAAGTGTTGGTCACAGGGTCGTATGACTCTACGGTGGCCAGGTCTGAAGTCCCATCGTAACTAGGGGAGAGGTCCATTGCCGGTCAGGACTGGCCCAGCGAGTATATGCTGAGCCCCTAACCCAAGACCAGGCTCCACACTTACCCACCCACGGCATACAGCCGGTTCCCAACTGCTGCCACGCCCACCCGGGCCCGGCGTGTGGACATGGAGGCCACCACGTGCCAACGGTCAGTGCGTGTGTCGTATGCTTCACAGTCCCCATGGATGGCGAACAAGCTCCCACCACCTAGGGATGGGGAGGTGACGGGACAGGACAAGGGGCCCAGGGAGCCAATGGGCCGGGGGACTTTAGCATAGCTCAAGGTTAAGAGTTATGGGGTCTCCAAGGGTAGGTGGGGATGAGGATGGGCGAGTGGGTCACACCACACACAGTCCTCCGCAGGCTGACAGAGGAGCAAGTGTGGGGTGATTGCAGGACGTGACCAATGTAACATGGGGTAGGCTCGTGCTGGCTTATGGATAGAAGTCACAGGTCAGGGATGGGAGGGGAGAAGGAGGTGACTTGGGAGGCCTGGACACAAGGGGACATGACAGGTGAGCATACCCACAGCAAAAAGCACAGGACCAGCGCCCTCACAGCGCCGGGGCCGTGTACGGCTGGTGCCCAGAACGCCTCTCTGCTCAGGCAGCAGGTGGAACTTGAGGGCCTCAATGAGCAGGTCCTTGCAGTCAGGGTGGTGCCTCACCAGGCCCTCGGCATCCACGTGGCCCAGCAGGAAGTCACGGCTCAGCAGGGGCAGGCGCACACACTTCATCAGCTGGGGGTGTACAGGGGTACCATGGTCAGGGGGCAGGCCCGGTGAAGAGAACCACCCTCAGACACCGTGGACCCTTCCTGAAAGATGCTCGCATCACTCCTGTGAGGGGTCTCTGGACACGGCAGAGCCCAGGTGCGCCCAGGCCCTCAGTGTATCCCCTCGCGGGCACACTGGGGCCCCCCAGGCGCTGGCCTCACCCTTGGGACATGCTGCCTCCGAGCATCCACATCATGCTTGACCCAGCTCAGGACGGCGCGGTAGACATCCTCCTCTGAAGGCACGTTCAGGCTGTCGCTAGAGACCAGTTCCAGCACCTGGGGGTGGGGACCCTCAGACCTGAGATCTGGGGAGGGTCTTGGGGGCCCATGGAGCCCTGAAGGTGCCTGGGAGGGAGAGTCCGATAGGGAGCCCAGTGTTCCTATGAGAAGGGGCCAAGCAAGGTCAGGAGCCACAGCTTTGGTTCCCGGGGACTGAGGCCCAGAGCAGTCCTGGGGACGTGGACTGTAGGCAGGGACGTGGTCAGGGCAGGATGGGATCAGAAGTCAAAGGCTGAATGCTTGGGTGGGCCAGAAAACGAGGGTGAGGTTGTGGGGTTTGGGCAGGGGATGGGTAGTGAGGCTGGAATGTGGGTCAGAGTTGGTAGGGGGGCAAAGGCCAGGTCTTAAGGGCCAAAATGAAGGGAGCCAGGGGTCTAAGGACTGGGTCTGGGGTCCAGGGTCTAGGGCCCAGGTCAGGGTTGAGGCTGTACGCCAGCTGGCACGTTACCTGCTTTAGTGGCAACAGCATGAACTCTTCGGTCTTGGCCACATCCACGAAGTGCTGCAGCACATACCTGTGTGCTGCCTTGAGCAGGTCACCGCACGAGTGTGTGTCAGCAAAGCCCCGGATGCCCAGACAGTTGGAGGGGTCGAGCTGACTCAGCAGGAACTTGCAGCAGGCGTCACGGACGCCATTCAGCTGCAGGAGGCTGGCGGCTGGGAGCAGAGTCTGTGGGGTGAGATGACAGAGAGCCAGGGGAGCAGGGACAGAGAAACGGGATGTGAGGAACTGAGGGACAGGGAGAGGCACAAGAAGATGCTGGATGTCGGATGTGAGACGAGGCAAGCTCACCTGCACGTTGCCTTCGCCCACAACGATCTCGGCAGTGTACGCAAACTGCACCAGTTGGTCCAAGGCCTGAGGGTCAATGTCGTGCAGTGTCACATGCGTCTGGCGGCTCTCACTCATCTCATCTGTGGGGACAGCGGGTCAGGCCGGTCCCCGCCCTGTGAGATCTGCGGAGCCCCCAAGTGCCCAGACTGGACGTGGTGGTACTTGCTTGTGAACATGGCGTGGAAGTAGGGGCTGCAGGAGGCTAGCACCACCTTGTGCGCTCGGATCTCCTTGGCCGCCACGTGCAGGACGATGTCACACAGGAGGCCACGCTGCCTCATGCGGCTCATGGCCACGAAGGCGTCGTGGTAGTGCCGTTTGGAGTTGTGGGACACAGTGTGGCCCTCACGGCTCAGCAGCTGCATTGCACCCTCCATTGGGGCCGTGGGCCGGGCCTGCCGAGGACGTGCACGCTCTGCCTCTGGGCTGCAGACGGGCAGTGCCAGGTCAGGGTGCACTCTGCTGGGAGCTGTCCGCCCACCCCTGAAACCTTAGGCAGGGCCAGGACACCCAGGAGGCCACCCCTCCCTCCAGCAGCCTGTACCTGGCTTCCATCAAGGACCACCCCCCTAGCCTTTCCTCACATACAGAGAGCCTCCTCGGAGTCCAGCAAAACTGCTCCTTACCTGCGCCTGGCATGAGGTTCAGTCACGCGCCTGACATCGACTGCCGGACCTATACAGCTTCCTCTGCCAGGATCCCTCCTGGCACCCCACTCCCCTCTGCCCAGGAGTACCCATCAGAGCCAGGACCCCCTCTGCCCGTGACTCCCATTAAGAACTAGGCTTCCTCTGCCCTCCTTGGGACCGGGTTCTCTTCTGTCTGGCTGGCCACCCTTCCTGCTCCCTTTGAGTCCGTGTCCTCCGCACCAGCTGGGCGCACAGCACGTGAGCCTGGCTAACGCTGTATGACAGCTCTGAAGAAGACCCCTATCTATGCCCACCAGCAGGCCTCACCTCGCTTGACCCTCCGGAGCTCCACCCGCCCCTCTCCCCCACCCCACTCCCGCCCCCCACCCATCCTGCAGACAAGCCGCCTGAGTCTAAACAGCGCAGCCGGAATTCAAGGGCGGCGGGAGAGGACAGAGCCTCCGGGAGGAAGCCACCGCTGGACGTCCTGTCCCACGTCGCCGTGTGCGCTCTAAACGGAGGGAGAGTTGTACCCTCCACCGGCCCGCCGAGACTGCGGGGGAGCCGAGCCCGCCTCCTCCGGGCAGCCTGCCAGGGTCGGCGCGCCCCTCCTTGTCTCCTTCCCGGACCCGGTCAGCCCCAGGTCTGGCTTACGGTCCCCAGCCCCTCGGCCCACTCACGCCGGCGGCTGCGGCGGCGGCGGCGGCGGCGGCGGCGCCTCCGGACCGGGCCCGGGGCTGCCGTGCTCCGGGCTTTGTGTCCTGCCAGCCGGGCGCTCGCTGCGCGGCTGCATGGGCTCGGCTGCCGGACCCGCCGCGATCCGCGGAGAACGCACGGATGAACGGACGCACTGACTGCTGGAGGGCTGCTAGGCGGCGGCGGCCCGCTCAGCGTCCCCCGGTCCCGCCGCCTGCCCGCAGCCTTTGTTTCTCGGTGCCGCCCGCCCCGCCTCCCGTGCAGTCCGCGTCCTTAGGGACTGAACGAGGCACTCTGATGCTCTCAAAGTATGGGCGTCTGGGCCTGCCTCCTCTACCAGGAAGCCCCCTGGGCCCCGCCCGCCCCCTACCGAGGAGTAGCCTCCCCAACCACCATCCGTCCCCGCCAGTTCTTTCGAGAGGCCCCGCCCCTGTGAACACCCCGGACCCCCTGGGGCCCGAGGCAGCCGGGACCTCATCCTCCCTGACCCTTTGTGACCCTGGGCAGACCGCTTTGCCCGTCTGGCCTTTGCTGAGTTCGCTGCATGAACCCCTATCAGTACCGGCCTTGAACTGGGCGGGGCGGGGCAGGGGAGCTTGGCCCGGGGGACCCGGCTGTCCAGGCCCACAGACCCTTGCCTTTCGGTGTGTGGCTGGAGGGAGAGAGGGCGTAAGCTGGCTCTCCGGCCCCTTTCTTCTCCAAGCAAGGCAAGCTTCCAGCCTCTGGGCCTTTGTGCCCGCTGTACCCGGGACGGGGCGAAGGGAAAGTGGCCATCCATGCGCAGCCGCACACTGAGGACTAGGGACTCGTGTGTTCAAAGGCAAGGCCCCGGCAGAGTCGCCGCGCCCTGAGGGGCAGCACAGGCGCAGCACGTTCAGGAAGATTTCGCCGAACTCCGGGACGTGTCCGTTGCCTGCCCCACCCCCTCCCAGCCCGCGTGATGTGGGCTCTCCGGTGACAGTGTAGTAACTCTCATCATTCTCAGCCTCATTTGATGTAGATGAAACTTGCTTGTCCATCAGGGTGTCTTTTTTTTTTTTTTGGGGGGGGGGCGAACTGCCCGCCCAAGGCATTGCCTTTTCAACTGGACCATTTTTCCTCCTAGGTTAGTGGCTTTTTATTATTGATTTGCGAAAGCTTGTTGCATAGAAGTCTTATCTATCAAGTGTTTCCATCTGGATGCATCCTGCCCGCCGGCGGCGCAGCGGCATTCTCACAGGCACGTGCTACGGAGCTCCAGGGAGGCTGTGCGCAGCGCTGGCGAGGGTGCTCCGGGTCCCGGGCCTCATCTTCCCTCGGACGGGCACTGCCATTACTGTCTCTTAGCACCAGGAAGGACACAGCTTTGTGAGCAGCAGGTCAGGATCCGTCCTGTGCAGTCCTGCCCGATTTTCGAGAGCTACAGCTCGGCACTCGGTGATGTGTGCGGGGCCCATGACTGAACCAGGCCTGCGCCATGAGCCCCAATCCCGCCTACCATCGAGCCCGGAGCAAGCAAGATGTGAATGCGCCCTCCCGCCTGGATGCCTCCGGAACCACGGTTGGAGAAACTTAGAGCCACCGGTGGGGCGCGGAGGGGCGGTACTGGGGGCGGGGCCCGCCTGGAGGAAGTGCGGTTAACGCACGGCATTCTGGGGCCGGAAGTGGGGCGCACGTTGAGGGCTGGCAGTAATGGCGGTGGTGCGGGGAACCAAGCGGTAAGTTGAGAATCTGAGGATCGATTCGGCCTTCCAGTGGATCCTTATATTTCAAAGGGAGTCTCCTTGAGCCTGTACGCGTTCCTGGCGCAGCAAGGCTGGGGCACACCGGGCTGGCAGGGAGCCTTGATTCGGATGTCGTAACCCACAGGCGCCTGGCGGAGCTGACGGTGGACGAGTTCTTGGCTTCGGGCTTTGATTCTGAATCGGAGTCGGAGCCCGAAGGAGCCCCAGAAGCGGAGACGCGGGCGGCGTGTGGAGCCTACCGAAGCCTGGATGAGACAGGAGGAAGCCCCTCGTCCAGGTGAGGGGAGCGTTTCCCACCGGACGTCTGTAAATCCAAACCCGTTTCACCGCCCTGGCCCACCCGTCACGTGGATGTTGACCACTCCTGGGGCCTCAGGACTGAGGCCTAAGGATCTCTGACCCCTTCCTCAGGCCCTTCGCCTTATTCATTCTTTTTTCCAGTGTTTGCTGAGGTCCTGTTCTGTGACAAACCTACATTGGTGAATAATAGAGAGGTCCTTTTCTGGTGTAGGGGAGCTCGCTCAGTCTTGGGTGAATCACGACGTATGTTATGTTATGTTGGAAGAGATAAGTGCGGCAAACAGGAAAAACAAGGGGTTAGAGAAACAGGGAGCATGTTGGGGGACAGCTGTTTCTGTTTAGTGGAGAAGGCTCTTTGAGGAGGTGGTAATTGAACAGAGACCTGAGGGAGGAAGCCACGCAGACGTGAAGAATGTTTTGCTGTTTCTGTTTCGTGTAGCAGGAACAGCAAAGCGCCTGAAGTGGGGGCAGGTCTTCCGCAGATGTGTGTATGGAGGAGTGAGGGGGAGAGTAGTAGGAGGAGAACCGGGAGAGACGATAAGGTCAGATTTTGTAGACTGTTTATAAGACACACCAGTAAAATGGGGAGTTACCTCAGCGTTTTGAGCTGTGAAGTAATGTGACGTGACGCGCAACACAAAGGGTCACTTGGAGGCTGCAGGTGGTGGGTATGGAGATAGGGAGAGACCACTGTGGTAATTGGGAGAATTGAGAGCTGGTGCTGGTTTAAAAAGGAGGCCTGAGGGGCTTTGAAGGGCTTTTGCTAATTAGATCTCATGGCACATCACATACCGGGTACGAGAGATAGAGGTTGTTTTTCACCTGAGTACCTGTAAAGATAGCGTTACCAGCAACTGAAGTGGAGCAGAGTGCTGGCAGAGCAAGTTCGGGGGAAACCACAGGTTCAGTGTTGTATGTGGGCTTGAAATGCAGGTGTTGAGGCAGTTGGATATGTGAGCGTACTGTTTGGGGGAGAGAGGAATCTGCTGGAAACTTACTCCTGGAAACCCCCCTACCTTGCTTGTGGGTAGCTGTTGTGGAGAGAGAGCAGATCAAGCCCTGTAGTTTCTCTGTGGAGGCTGGCAAGCTTATAGTGTGGAGGACAGGAAGCCTTACCCCACATCCCCCAGTCCCCAGCCCTGTGGGCTATGCCTGTCCATTGGACTTGATGACCCCTGCCTTCTCAGCCGGCGTAAAGGTCGTGCATCTGAGCATAAGGACCAGCTCTCTCGGCTGAAGGACAAAGACCCGGAGTTCTACAGGTTCCTGCAGGAGAACGACCAGAGCTTGTTGGACTTTAGTGATTCTGACAGCACTGAGGACGAAGAGGAGCAGCTCCACTCTCTGCCGGACATGCTGGAAGTGAGGGCTTAGGCAGAGTTGATGGGGGCAGGGGTGCACTTATGGCCTCTACATCCTGCTCCAGCCTGGTTCTCTGTGTCTGGTGCAGGAAGCAAGCATGGAGGAGGAAGATGAGGATGAGGATGAGGTCCCCGGAGGACTGAAGGGGAAGAAAAGGGATTCCGTTCCTGTGACCCTAGCCATGGTTGAGAGGTGGAAGCAGGCAGCAGTGGTGAGAAGTAGCATTGTGTGGGCAGCTGGACACCCCCCCCCCCCCACTTTAGGAGTCTGCTGTTGTCTCATTTCAGTTACCTGGGTCTGTGCAGATGGGAGGAGCCCCTTCTCTGAGCACCAGACCCTCATGTGAAGAATCTCATATGGTTCTTTATGCTAGGAGGCTCCAGGATTGCATCCTCCCCTTCAGTCAGAGATTCTGGGGGCTCTTCTTGGTCTCTTCCACTCACTTTCTCTTTCAGGCTCCCTGTTTCCTGAGATCTGTTGTGGGTAGGACATAGTGTCTGCTTTTATCAGTCAGTGGAGCCAGAGCCCTTCTTCCAAGGATTTTACGTTGGTTTCTGCAGAGAAAGGAAAAGACAGAAGGGAGAATCCTAGAAACCACGTGGCTCAGGCCACCATCCAGATCTGGGACCCTTAGCCTCTCCCGTATAGCCCCAAGCCAGGTTCCCTGCCCTTCCAGGAAGATTCTGGACTGTTTTTTGTTGTGTTTTTTGATTTTGTTTTTTGTTCCATGCACGTGGCTCCATAACACTGCCTCCTCTCCATCTCTGCTCCGTGTCTCAGAATGTGGGCAAGGGGTGCCTTTCTGTCACAGAGCAGGTTTCTGGGGCCCTGGTAGTCTGTTGCTCTGTCCAACACAGCTGACTGCTCCCCCAATGTTCTGGGTCCTCTCATTCCTAATTTAGCAGCACCTTACTCCAAGGCTGTTCCATGAAGTTGTGCAGGCATTCCGAGCTGCTGTGGTCACCACCCAAGGAGACCAAGAAGGTGCAGAAGCCAGCAAACTTCAGGTCACAGACAGTGCTGGTGAGCTGGGGTGAGGGGACCTGGAATACAGGCTGTCTGTTCTGTCTTCTGCCCTGTGAGTGGTACCTGTGGTCCTCTCATTGCAGTGTTCAACGCTCTGGTCACCTTCTGCATTAGAGATCTCTTTGGCTGTCTCCAGAAGCTGCTGTTTGGGAAAGCCCCAAAGGACAACAGCAGGTGAAGGGGAGGGGAGGTAGGAGGGTGTGGTCCGGACCCCACACTGGGGAAGGCAGAACCCTTGTGGTCTAGCGGCCCGCCCCCTAGTCCAGCCAGCACGGAGGGATGTTAAAGACAGAGCCAGGCCCTTTGCCAGGCTCCGTGGAGAGACTGGGCAGGGCCATTTGGGTGACATTGTCCTTCTTCCTTTCTCTTTTCTTTCTGAAAAGGTATATTCTGTGCCCAGAATTTCTCAGGAGGCCCAGAGTGTGTGGGTGGCTTTGGACTTCCGGTTTCTTAGGTCAGGATTCTCCCCTTTTTCACTCTCTTTTTTGTCTTTAAGTGGATATTTCATCTATTCTTTTGCTGTTTGCTCTGGGGATGGTGTGCATATCTGTAGTTAGGGACCTCATCAAGGAAGCTGACAGGTGATGGTGGAGGGGGATAGCCATTGAGTGAGTGGGCATTAAACACGTGTATCGTCAGTGGTGCTGGCGTTGGCCAGGCACAGACTCTTGTTTGAAGGGGGTCCCTGCACTGGGAGAGCAGTCACCATGCAGCGTGGTGGGCTCTGGCAGGAAGTGTGCAGTGTGGGGTGGGGGTGGGGGGAGTTCACTCAAGATTGGGTGGTTTGGTCTCTTGCAGGGTGCTGCAGCCGTCCAGTAGCCCGTTGTGGGGGAAGCTCCGGCTGGACGTCAAGGTCTACCTGAGCTCAGT